ATTTATTTATTTGAGAGAGAGAGAATGAGAGACAGAGAGCACGAGAGGGAAGAGGGCAGAGGGAGAAGCAGACCCCCTGCTGAGCAGGGAGCCCTGTGCGGGACTCGATCCCGGGACTCCAGGATCATGACCTGAGCCGAAGGCAGTCGCTTAACCAACTGAGCCACCCAGGCGCCCTAAAAATATATTCCTAATTGTAAAGTGAAGCACTGCCAATTTTGAACACGGCATGGAAAAAAAACATTACTTGATAATAATCACCATTTTGGTAAGCTCTGTTCACAGTCATAACTTTATTTTGGCGTATCTTGTTACGTATTCATATATAACCAGATATCAGTAGTATGCTGTTTTTGATGTCAGCTCTCTGCCTCATTCTTTACCCACTTGCCTTCATTTGTCTTCTAGTAATTAATTCGTTTAGTATATATTTTATTATACCCACCATGTGCAGGGCATGATGTCAGGCTCTATTAGGCATGGATTTTACCTTTTTGGAATTTCTAGTTTGGCAAGGGAAATGACATTTACCTATATAATTACAAGATAAACATGACTGGATCAAGAGTTTATTTATTTATTTATTTATTTAGAATTAGAGGGTGTGTTAGGGGAGCGCTGTGCCATGTGTGGAGGTGAGGGTATTTACATGTGTGCATGTGTGGAGGTGAGCATTCTGCAGGGTTGGATACAGTATGGATGTAGAAAAGGCAGTAGCGCTGTGTGAGTAATGTAGCAGGGGTCAGTTATTCTGGCCCTAATAATTCCCTGTGCCATGAGGGAAGAGTTGGGGGCAGGTGGCAACTGCAAAGAGTTTAGTTTGATAGGACCTTAGAATTTGTGAAAGGATGGTGAATTTGGTAAAGGGAGGGACAAGGGAAATTTGGGCCTATATTCTTTCAAATCATAATAGTTTCATTACTTTACAAAGTAAAACTAAGCAAGTGAAAAATTAATAAATTCATGATAAAAGATTAATTATATGTTAACTACAGATATTTAAGGGGATTTGATGGTCATCTAAAAGGATACTGAAGAAATTCAGAGGCCTGATTAGTAAATAACTCACATAATCCAGCTGTCAGCTAGAATAGTTGAAAGAAACATAAATAACCAGGTCTTTGGGCCTCAGGCAATTTTAATAAGAGAAATTTCTATTTATATGGAAAAATCCTCTATTGCTTTTATTCAGTTGGTAGTATTAACAGTGAATTCTTTTTTAGGGATTATCTTAAATTGCCCCTTTTTTTGTTTGTTTTTGGCCAGTCAACCAAGTTTTTGTCCAAAGGTACACAGTGAGTCCAAAAACTTGTTCTTTGATCTAACTACTTTGATATATAACATTCTCTAACATTATTTTTAACTAATGACACGTTTGGGGGAGTTTTTCCCCATAAATATATATAGCATGATGTAGGCTTAATTATAACTTGTACTTGACTTTGGGCTTGTACAGAGTATACTGACGCTATTATCTGGAGTTGTGAGCACCAACCACTCTGTTTCTTAACTTTAATATCAGGACACTAATTTGTTTATAACACTATTATAGTCAATTATATTTTGATACAGAGGATCTGTATAGACTTTGTCCCCAGGATTGTGTAATCATTAAAATTCTAACAGGGAAGACAATTTGTGTGTTTATTTGGTCTTTCTCCATTGGGAGTGTTTCTCTTGTCTAAATGTGTGGCATGGGAAAGGCCATGGATAAAAGGAGCCAGAATAACCGAGAACCTGTGGTTTCTGGACTGCAGGTGATAAAGGCCAAAGGCCATGGGCACTTAAGTTCCTAAAGGTTATCTCTATAAGCTTTTTATCTGCAAAGTATATCATTCTGTGTCTTCAGTGTCTTTTCAAGTTTTCTTTCCCATCAGGAAAGTTAGTCTTTGTTTTAGAGATACTTTAATTTTTATTATTAAAACTGTAAATCATGTTCATTAAATCTTGCAAGCACTTTCATTAAAATTCCCCGAATTTCATTTCTTTCTCTTGCCTTTTAGTAGCAATATGATAATTTCTTTTATCCCCTCGAATGAAGTGTTAAAATGTTTGGCTTTGACTGAAATTTCTGACGTTTAATTCCCTAAAGCTGAACTGTGATTGATCACATTTACCCAGGTGAGAAAGCTGTTCCTTTGGTGTAGGTTGAGTTTCTCTTTCTCAGTTTTATAGTTAATCAAGTGGCGCTTGATTTGAATATATAACTCTAGAGAGAAGAGAGGAAAATTGACTGCTTTCCAGATGCAGAGAATGTAGTGTAAGGCTGAGTACAAGGCTGAGGTTACCTAATAAAAGTAAAGATTGACTTTTTCAGTGGTTTCTTTCCCATAGTTGATTAATAAATCTTTCTAGATTTCAAGAAGCACATTTAGTGAAGATATTTTCTTGTGGTTTTACTTTTTAGAACCTAATAAAGCATCTTCCTGATCAAGAACAACTAAGTTCATTGTCTCAGTTCAAGAGTGACTATAACAACCTATGTGAACCTGAGCAGTTTGCTGTTGTGGTAAGTACCATCCATCTCTCAGCATTAGCTCTCCTGGGTGGGGATTTTTATACTGTGCCACACAGGAAAGAACTGTCAGACCTCTTCACATCAGGATTGTTTTATAAACCTTTAATGTCCATCTTGTCTTTTTTTTTTAACCTAAGGATATTTATGGAAAATTATCTTGATTTCAAATATATATACTGAAACTATAGCCTTAAAGAAAGTCCAAGGAGTTTTTTGAAGTATAAACTTGATTGTTTTGCATGTGTTCTCTATTTCATGTCAAAATGTAAGATGAAAACTGCACTCCTATGGCAGGCGGGTATATTTATGATTTATTCTGGAGCTACGTATTCCAACATACTGCAAGAGTAGCTTCAGTTTCTTGTTCTATCGCTCACCTCTGTTCATCTCCTGTTTTAGACTGTGGAATTAGAAATACAGTCTCCTCCTTGGCAATGAGGATGAAAAGTGAATACCTTTTTAAAAAAAATCTCTGAGACCCCTTGATAATCATCTTGTTCCAGCCTCCTATCTTATAGAAGTTGGGGTCAGAAGAGGTGAAAATACGTGCCAATGTTACATATTAGCTGAGTTGCAACTTAAAATTATAATTTTATCAACCTTTCTTTCTTCTCTTCTTTTTTCCTATCATTAAATTATCATTTTGAGGTTGGTTACATTCAGTCATTATGACAATACTTTAGTGTTTCATTTCTTTTTATTTTTTTTTTTAAGATTTTATTTATTTAGGAGAGAGAGAGCGAGAGAGAGAAACAAGCAGGGGGAGGGGCAGAGGCAGAGGGAGAAAGAGACTCTCCACTGATTGGGGAGTCTGACCTGGGGCTCGATCCCAGGACCCTGGGATCATAACCTGAGCTGAAGGCAGATGCTTAACTGACTGAGCCACCCAGGCGCCCCCATTTTTTTTATATGTAAGATTATTTTTTTCCCTGTTATCTTCAGTTCTATTACCAACCTCCAGGGATATGATGGAATTGTATTTGATATAATTTTGAAAATTTGGGTTGGCTAACTAAAGGACTGTCTGCATACCATATTTTGCATGTTGTAGGCATTTGCTCTTAAACTACTTCCTGTTTCTTCACAAACCAATTCTCCTCGCCCCTCTCCACAGCGCCTGCCCCCTTCCTGAGTTCACAAAACGCTGATTAGAACACAGAAGTGGGAGGGGGAAGCAGGGTTTTTCCTATTTATAGTCTTATAAGTTTGATTATAAAACCTTTTAACTGATTTTCTTTACAAAAATGTTATTCATTTTTTTTTAGCCCAATTCTCCAGGGTATCATGTTCTCTTCTCTTTTTCACTTTCTTTTGTATTTCTTTGTTTGCTTTATATTCTTTTACCTGATCACGTTGTCTTTCTTTTGATCCCTATTTGATGCTCTACCTGCACTGTCTTCCATTGGGAATAAGTGAGTAAGGGAGAATTTGCATTAAATTTTTAACCACAGACTTTTTTGCCCATCTTTTTTTTGACTCTTGAAGACTACAAAATGTAAAATTACAGTTTTAAAATATTTCCCATTCACATTAAATCTGAAACACATACAAGCTTATGTTAAAATGCCTATTTAGCAAGTAACTTTTTACATTGTACATAATCACAGAAAAAATGTAAAACGCTTGCCATGTTTTAGTGATTTTCACAGAAGAATGAGTTCAAACTTGCAATTATTTTAGTGTATTTAAAATAGCCAGGTTATGTCCTCCTTCGAAAATCTGGAGTTCACATCAAAGAGCCATGATTTATAAGTGGTGTTATTGTAGGGGTCAGAAAGTTAAAACAATTATACTTCCAGATACTAGTGCTAGGGGTTATAGTTTTGATTTTAAGACAGAGATGGACCACTTCCATTTCAGGACATGTCAACTCAAACTTGACCTTGAATCTTGACATTCCATGCCAGGTCATACCTGACTGCAAATGGAATTTAATGTAGAAAGAGTAATGCTATTGAAAAACATCTGCTGTAGACAGTATGAACAGTGCTTTATCATATGTTGATTGTGAATATTCTTGAACACATTTTTATAAGTTCTAGTTTGTGTGGTACTGACATTTTAAGACATAATTGCTTTCGTGAAGAAAGGAGAAAGAAAGTTGAGGAAAATACAGTGTGTGTGTATGTGTGTGTGTATATATATATTTTTTGTCAAATAGTAATATTCTTCAACTTTACCTTCTTCCCTTGCAACTTTTCACCATTCCCAATCTGTCTTCCTCTACCTCTCAGACACCTACCCCCACCAAAAAAAGAGGGGGAAACCTACTTAAAGTTCTAAACAATACTTGAGAATTACCAACAAATATGATGGACAAAAATTATAGAGCAGTGTGGAATGCCTGAAGTTTTTTGTTCTTTCTGGAATAAATGCTCAATATTAAGTTTCTTTAAAAAGTGGTATGTTTTCAGTTTATCAAGATTATATAAGATGATTTCGTAGTTTTAGGAAACTGATTATAATTATCATGTGTATTTCTGTGATTTCCATTATACTGTTTCATTTTTAAAGTAATAAACTTAATTATGTTTGTATCAAAGATGGGCTATTACCTTGAGGTAAGCTAAACTGCAGATTCCTACATTACTTTGATCTTTTAGAAAAACATTTACTTATTGACTAAACTTAGATTTAAAGTACTAATCATTTCTACCTAAAAACCATTAATGTATCATAGACAAGGAATAGGCAAGGGTTAGGGTAGCCTTTGCACCCCCAAATGAGGCCAACATTTGCTTTTTCATTTTCACCCAAGAGAGACTTACTTTTAGCTCTGTATCGTATTCCAGTTCTGTAACCTGATAGTGATTTCTATACTGTTTTCATTTTAACAAAAATCAATTAAGGGTAGCTCAGCCCGTTAGGCATCCAACTCTTGGTTATGGTCTCGGGGTCATGAGATCAAGTGCCACATCAGGCTTCGCATTGGGTGTGGAGCCTGTTTAAGATTCTCTTTCTCCCTACCCCCTTCTTGCTCTCTCGCTCCACTAAAAAAAAAAAAAAAAAAAAAACCGTTAAAACTCTATAGTTAAATTATTTGCCAGTTTAACTTTTTCTTTCATCCAGTTATATAAATTTACTAGTTTGATTCATGTGAATTACAGATTTCTCAGAAAAGATGTGTTCCATTTCAACAAACATCAAAATTTGATACGATAGTCACTATAGTTGTTTGCATTATATAATCAACCTTAATTCCACTAAAGAATTTTGTAAAACAATAAACAAAAAGCAACTCCACCAGGACACTGGCATTTGTTTACATTATTTTCTCTTTGATAGAAAGGCAGTGTGCGAAAGTGACACATTCAAAATGCTAGTAACCAATGTCCATTGAAGACCAATTTGAATATATAAGACATAACATGTAAATTAGAAATGTTTTACTTTTGTCATGTATTACTTAGATACAACGTTTTAGAACACTATATCCTATATAGAGTGTGTTATACAAATAGACTATTGAGAAATACTATGCCAATATTCATTGGATTGTATGTCCCTGAAGTTTTCTTTCTTTTTTTTATATTTTATTTTTTTAATTTAAATTCAGTCAGTTAACATTAATGTGTATTATTGGTTTCAGAGGTAGAGGTCAGTGATTCATCAGTCTTATATAATACCCAGTGCTCATCACATCACGTGCCCTCCTTAATGTCCATCACCCAGTTAGTTAGCCCATCTCCCAGCCCGCACCCCTCCCCGCCCAAGCAACACTCTTTCCTGTGATTAAGAGTCACTTATGGTTTGTCTCTCTCTGATTTCGTCTTGTTTTATGTTTCCCCTATGGTCCTCTGTTTTGTTTCTTAAATTCCACTTGAGTGAGATCATATAATTGTCTTTTTCTGATTGACTTTGATATGTGTGTATTCTTTCCAGGTTTTCTATAATATAGTATTTCATATGCACTTTATTTCTCCCTTGAAATTGGAAACAAAATTTTTTAATGCAGATACTATCACTATTCAAAAAAAAAGTTTTTAATGCATGAATACTAGATACAGGTACTTTTATGCCTTGAAGGGTGTAGTCATTCATCTGTTACTTTTAATAATTCAGAGTCTTGAGGTACCTTCTTGAACTAATTCTCCCTGCAATCTTTATGACTTGGACCTTGGCCAGCTGAGCAGGACAGTTGTTAGGTGTTCTGGGGCTGGTCCTGTCTGTGCTCTGTAGTCTAGTTGTGATGGTGTCATTGGTGGTGGTTGGTGGCCTGGTACCTTTTGGAATTGATCCTCTGGTGCTGTGCATCCAGGGTCTAATGGTTTAATGATACTATTAAGTTGTTTCTGTAGCTGAGTAGAGTATACTTATATGTCCTATGTTTTCTGGGAGATTTCGACAAATGAAAGATAATATCCCTTCAAAAATGTGAAACCGTTATCATTTAATACTGAGAGACTAAAGGTTCTAGTCAAATGGTATTTTAAAGGAGTGCTCCGGGCGGTGGTCTATCTCTATCTTTTTGTGTGACTTGAATGAGACCATTTGCATGCTGATTTTATTTGTTGGTTTAGGTTCTGGGCAGAGGACATTGAATACTAACTGTGCCTCATTTGAAATATTCTTTTTTCCTGGACAGTTCAGGACTCTTTTTATTGTTGAGAAATCAGTTTATATTTGGTAGGCCCTCTCCTCATGCTTTATTCAACTTTATTTTCTATCAATAAGTGAAGAAGTGAAAATATACCTGCCTCTTTTCTTGGATTCCTTCCTTCCCTCTTCAGCTCTAACACCTCCTCACTTATCCTCCCTAAATATTGCCTACTTATCAAACCTGATTTTAGTTGTATGACTATTTTTTTTTATATTTGCAGTTTCTTTGATCAGTAAACCATTAGGTAAAATCACTGTTCTCACAGTATCATGATTTAACTGTGGGAGAAATGAGACATGTGAATAGTCAGTGGGATCAGAAGATGAGCTGAAGTTTGGAAAAATGCCTAAAAATTTGCATTAGAAACTTGGTGCAGTAGACTTTCTTTGAT